TTTCAAGTATTTACAGTATTTAGTTTTTGAATTACAACCATATAAAAAAATCGATTTGGTCGAAAACTGGTTTTGCGTAAAMATTCCCGTTTTCTGTCATTTTAGTAGGGATGGGAAAAACGAATCTTTTAAATGAATCGAATCATTTGATTCGACTCACTAAAATGAATCGTTTTTATGATTCGTTCATTTCGTTCAGTGACTCGCATTTGATTCACTAATTCAACCGAATTTAAATTCAATCACTGAATCACTGATTCGAAGTAGGCGATTCTCAAAAGTAGATCGATCTTTTGAATCGATATACATCGAAATAACGATTTTTGTAATCACTAGATGCCGCGTGACATTCTAGCTCTCCCATGTGACGCTCCGATTTCATACGATTAATATATAAAGGTTTTCTATACTCATTAATGTCAATGCGAGTACTCCCTACCTAGTCCCTCTTGATTTCGGGCTGAGTATACGCTGGAAAGTGATAGAAAGTATTGGAAACCTAACCTAGCCTCTATATAGTAGTGCCTACATAAATCACAACGGAACTCACCACTTCAATGGACRGTGTCTAATTGGTTACAGGGGGGGATGATACGCCTTAATTTTTTAAAGTATTCTTGGTACGTAAATAAAAATACATACATTTTATGCAATAATTACAAATTGAATTATGTAAAAAAAAAAAAAGAAAGAAAATGAGTAATTTAAGCGCAGTGAATACAGTGTATCATATATTATATTATTATAACGTAGGTATGTTTTTACCTTCTAATATATAACAAAAATATTTAAACAAAATTAAGAAATTAATACATAATCATTTGAAATCCGATTTGAATTTCAAAGAATCACGAACTAAAATTGAATTAATGAATAGATTATACGAGTATATAATAATATATAATAAATAATAAAATAAAATAAATCATTTATTATTTTTGATATAAAATAATGAATTATAATATACTAACACTTTTTTAAACTATTTCTATATATTATTAATGATTAGTGAATCGTATGAAGTTCGAAACGAATCAGCCGGAGTCGTTCGAACGATATTGAACGAATTGTTCCCGGTACAATATTGATGATTCGTTGTTCAGTCGGTCAAGATTCACATGAAGTTACGAACAAAATTAATTTCGTGAACGAATCGTTCTAACCATCTGAATCTGAATCAATTCGTTCACTGAGCTGATTCGTTCATTTTGAACGAATCGTTCGCGAACGACCCATCCCTACATTTTAGATTCTGAGCGGAGCAATGAATATATTATTGATTTTACCATGATGTGTGT